TAGAACGTAAGACTCCAAGGCATGAGCGCTGTGAATGGGTGGAAAACACAGTCTCAAATAGATCACTTTCTCACTCTCATTTCACAGTACCCAGAAACGGTCCACCCAAAACCAGGGCTCGTATTCACATATAAATCCAGAAGTCAAAAATACAAGTTTCCCTATGTCACTAGGCTATGAGTTGCTTTTCTCTCTGAACTACTCAAGGCATTTCAGGGTAAGTTAGCGTCACTATTTGAGGTCATACTGTGGCAATCTCGACCACTTCCTCCAATCTGCGGGACCCTCCAGGTCCCCTCCAGCCGAGGGTAGGGTACCGGGGCGGAGTGCGCTCCACTCACCTGCACCGCGAGGCTCAGCCCCTCCAGCACCGCGTAGTTGAAGGAGTCCACGTGCGCCCGCGTCAGGTCCTGCAAAGCCGCCTTTTGCTGCTCCGGAGGGATCGCGTACGAGGGGTCGGTCAAATGCTTTAAGCTGGGCCCGCTGGGCAGGTTCCGCCACCGGCCGTCGACATCCATGCTTCTGCCAGCCCGGGACTCCACTCGTGGCCCTCAGGAATGGCCGGAGCAACCCCCACAGCCACCCTATCCCGTGGCCTGCTGGGAAATGTAGTTCCTCTTGTTCGGCCCGTCCCACCCTCGTCCTTCCATTTGTCAGGGTCGACTGGAAACTTAAACCATGGCATGATTGGACCGGTTAAAACTACACACAGACACGCCTTTAATCCCAGCAATAGGGAGGCAGGGGGATCTCTGTGAGTTCGAGGCCAGCTTGGTCTAAAAAGCGAGTTCCAAGCATCCAGAACAATTAAACAGAGCCTGAGGTCTTTTTCGGTAATAACATTCTTATAATTGATTTTGTCTAATATTAATATGGCCATTTAAGCTTTCTCAGAGTTACTGTTTACACGATGTGTCTTTTTACATCCTTATACTCTCAATTTATTTATGGTTTTTAATCTAAAATGTGCCTCCTATAAATATTATATAGTTGAGTCTTTGTCTTTTTTTCTTTATAATCCATTTTGCTAATCTTTGCCTTTTGATTGGGTGTGTTTGATATATTTGTATTTAGTGAAATTACTGATATAATAGGATTTACCTGCCACTTTGTTCTTGGCATTTGACCTATCTCCTTCATCAGGAACGCCTATTGTTCTTATGTTGATATGCTTAATGGCATCTGGTAGGTCTCTGAAAAACTGTTTATTCTTTTTTCCTTTCTATATGATATATGTCTCTATTTCCAACTCTTTCCCACATTACAGACTATATCTTTTTTTTTTCTTTGCATGAGCCACAATTAGTATAAAAAAATCAGGATCTCTTAATGTAATTGAGCATCTTTGGAAACTAAATACTGTAGATTCCCTCACTGTTTCTCTCCGTTCCTCCCTCTTCCAATTCTCTTTGTAGACAAGGTCTTCTATGGACCTCAGGCTGACTTTTTTAAAAGTCTTTTTAAAAAAAGTTTTGTGGCCGGGCGGTGGTGGCACATGCCTTTAATCCCAGCACTTGGGAGGCAGAGGCAGATGGATTTCTGAGTTTGAGACCAGCCTGGTCTACAGAGTGAGTTCCAGGACAGCCAGGGCTACACAGAGAAACGCTGTCTCGAAAAACCAAAAAAAAAAAAAAAAAGTTTTGTGTGTTTGTGAGTGTAGGTACATGCGAGTGGCCGTAGAAGCCTGTATGAAGGGAAGACAGTGGACTCGGCTCTCCCCTGCCACCTGATGAGACTCAGGGCTCAGACTCCTCTATCAGCAAGATTGCATGCAAGCACCTTGGCCTTCGGGCTCATCACTTCAAGGCCCAGCCTTGAAGTCTTGATCTTCTTGCTTCAATCCCCCAGAACTATAAGTACACATTCTGTTTCTCTTGTCTTTACTGTACAATTCTTTCTTAGCTGTTGGTGTCTCTTAGCTTTGCTTCTGAGTCTATTCCTTTCTGAGAGTTTGTTGAGCTTTTAGATGCTTTTGGTGTGTTTTCATGTTGTATGTACAGGTGTGAGCAGGAACATGTATTTGTTTCTCCTATGTGTGGAGGCCAGGGGACTGAAGGCCGTCTTTGAGACAGGGCCTCTCCATGGCCTTGAACTCACTGAGTAAGTCAGGCTGGCCAGTGAGCCCCAGGGAGCTGCCTGTCTCTAGCATCCCAGAGCTAGGGTTAAAGCTGTGTGCTACCAGGCCTGACCCCCCACCCCCACTTCCCTCCCTTTTTTAAGTGAAGTTTGGGTATTAAACAGGTTCCCATGCTTCAGGGAATGCAGTTTACCAACTGAGTTATCTTCCAGCCTCTTAGGTACATTTTAACGGTGTTTGTTCATTTTTATAAAGCAAGGTAGATCTTGGTCACTATTTTTAAAGAAAATCTCTTATTTTCTACTTATGTATATGTGTGAGTGCCTGAAGAGGCCAGGTCTTGGATTTCTTGGAGCTAGAGTTACAGACATTTTTAAGTTACCCACCATAGGTGCTGGGATCTGAACTCCTGACATCAGGATTGAATAGCAAGCACTTCTAACACCCATCTCTCCAGTGCCTCGGTCACTGTTTCTCCCAATATGTTCCCATCCCTTTGCCTCTCCTCTCCCTTCAACTGTTCCTGCTATGTGCGTGACGGTGTGCTTCATGGTCTATGAAACACTGCTCGTTTCTTTTTAAAATATTCTGTTCTTCGTCAGACGGTAAAATCTTACTTGACTTCACATTTGACGATTCCTTTTAGCCGGGTCAAACATGCCCAATCACTTCTAGTGGATTTTTCACTGTGCTAAGTGAATTTTTCACCTCCAGTGTTTCTACTTGCTTTTACTCAAAACTTGGTCCTGTCTTCTGACTGATATTCTCTCTGGTCTCACAGGAGCAGCCTCCTTCAGTTCTCGTCACACACTTGAAATAGCCAAATTCAAGTGTTTGCTTAGAAGGTCCAACACCCGGGACTCTTCAGGGATAGGGTCCAATCTCTACCCATCTGCCATGTGGGTCCTTATCTCTCCTCTTGTCATACCCCACAATTAGAATAAAACATTAGGACATCTTAATTAATTTTGGAAACTAGAGACTCTGTTCTCTCTAGGATTTGTTGGTGATCAGCCTGAATAATCACTATGAAGCCAATGTTCTTGGTTATGTGTGTTCCTGCCATTAGCTAAATGCTCAACTAATGATTGAGCCAAGATTTCCTTAAATATCTATACTCAAACTTTTGCTGAAGGCTCTGTTCCTGCTTGGTGATGGTGACTTCAAAACCTGTGCAGCCTTTTATGATTCTGCCTTGATATTCACTTTCTATTGTATAGAGCCTGAATATCAGCAATAAAAACAGGGACTTTAGAGGGGTTCCCTGGTCATAATCACAGCCCTATGTGTTGTGACTTTCTGTGGTCTCATGAATATGAGTCTTTCAAAGCCTTCTGTGACAGCCTGCCTGTTTTCATTTTTCAGTTTGTTTGTTCCAAGAGGTATTGTGACCTTAGGAAGCCGAGATGTAAAATAATTGTTGCTATCACTTTTGACAAGAACATTGGGAGAAAATGTGTACACTGGGCAAGCTCTGTGTCATAGCAAATTAAAATAATCCCAAGAAGCAGAGGCTTAATAGAACTACCAGGAAGTCTAATCAGCCATATGTGGTGGCACATGCCTTTAGTTGTAGGATCTGAAAGGCAGAGACAGGTGGATTTCTGTGAGTTCAAGGCCAGCCTAGTCTACATAGTGAGTTCCAGGAAGCCAGTACTGTATAAAGAGACACCTGCCAAAAACCAAAACAAAACCAACCAACCAACCAACCAAACAAACAAACAAAAAACCAGAAAGTCAAATGATAGCAATACACAGACATGAAATGCCCATAGCAAAAATGGAGTGTTGAGCAGACAGGCTGCCAGGCAGGTAGCTACTTAAGCAGCCCCCAGAGGGGTAGTGTTCAATGACACTGGAGGACTTCTCTCAGGCTGGGTCCATGTATCACCAGAAGCTCTTTTTTTCTTCATGAAGTTGCAGTTCATGCAAGGTATAGCAGGACACACCTGTAACCCTAGGCCTGCTCTTCTTTCTCTGAAGGGCAGACGTAGAACCCCTGAAAATCCTGTGTCATGAAACCACTAAGAACACCAAGAACATGGTCTAGATGCTAAGTCTATGCTTGCAGCAACCCAGAACACAGTCACATCCCAGTAACAATGGTGAGCTTCCTGATGTTTTAACTTGTCCTGCTTCCGTCCCTGCCTTCCCAGCTTTAAAGTAGTCCTAGAAACCAACAGCCAAAAATCCATGGTGAAGTCCAGCAGCCCCATAGCTATTTTGAGTCACAGAAATGGGGTACAGGTAGCCCCTGAAGGCAGGCTAGCTGTACAGAGGCATTCAAAGCAAACAACCTCATAGCCCAAGAAATGACTAGTTACCTTGTGGGGTTGTTTGTAGTGTCTGGACATCCTCCAGAGATTTACAGGTATCTCAACACTCAGCCTGAGTCTGATGATTAGCAAGGAGTTCTCAGCAAATAGCTTCATCTCTACCCTATGCTGGAAACACACATGGCTTTCCTTCATGACTATTGGTCCACTTGATCATTGTGCCATGATTCAGATCAGGGCACAAGTCATGGAGAAGGGATAGACCAGAGTCTGCAGCTGAAATTGCCATCTGCTGACTTCTGCAATATATAACATTTGGTTAGGGAACTACAGTCGTGTCTGACTGTATGTGTGGCTCTGGATGGTATGTGAGCTTAGAATCATGTCCATCCATTTTCAGAGTTCAGGGAGTAATAAGGGATATGCAATAGAGATCCTAGATGGCTCACAAGAGGCAACAATATTTGCTGTCTTGCTGTTTCTAGAGAAACCCTGCCTTCCTCTGGTTACCTATCATAGACTGAAATAACCAGTGATAGCCAAAGGCTAGTCAACCCCCACAGTGAGATGACTGAACC